CGAGCCGCACGATGTGCTGGCTGCTCGACGAGCTCTTCTCCCGGAAATCCTCCCGCAGCGTGTGCACCTGCAGCGAGAGCTGCCGCTCCACCTCCGATGCCTGCAAGAAGAGACGGGCTGGCCTTAGCCCAGGGGCCACCAGCACCTTAGCCCAGGGGCCACCAGCACCTTAGCTCAGGCGCTACCAACGCCTTAGTCCAGGGGCCACCAGCACCTTAGTCCAGGGGCCATCAACACGTTAGCCCAGGGGCCGCCAACGGCTTAGCCCAAGGTTACCAATGCCTTAGCCCGAGGCTACCAATGCCTTAGCCCAGGGGCCACCAATGCCTTAGCCCAGGGCCACCAACGCCTTAGCCCAGGGCTCCCAACACCTCCTGCCCACGGGAGGAGGCTCTGCTCATGGGGAAAGGAAACCTGGGAACAACAGGGAGGGAAACTTGAAAGCCTGTAGACCTGGGAAGAAGCTCATCGTGGCCAGGCACTGAGGACAGCAGCTGTGTAGACCAGGTGGCTTTGTCCTTATAGACAGGGCAGCTGAGGGGATGTGCATCCTGGAGGACAGGAGCTGCAGGCAGCCTCCATAAACGGCAGCTTAGACACATTAACTGCTCTCCAGGCAGCTTTATGTCTGATTTTTACACGGTGAACATGCTTGTTTAGGCTTGTAAGAGAACATAAGTTTTTTTTTTTTTATGACAAATCCCTTATGAGATGGCACAAATGGATGGGTTTCTGCTTAATTAGCCTCCTTCAGGTTCCACTATACTTAGGCACAGATTTCTCGTGGAACAAGAACTCGCTTCCAGCAATAAAAAAATGATCTTGTCTACTAACTGATTTTTACTTCCCCTCCCATCCTGGGATAGAGCTGGTGTTTGCCTCTTCTTTAAAACCATACATCAAGGGCCTTCGCAAATCCCTCCCCTTTTATTTATTTATTTATTTATTTATTTATTTATTTATTTATTTAAGCTTCCTTGCACAAGCCAAGGACACAGCACTCTAGGAGGGGACTGGTTATTTCTCTCCTTGCAAGCAGCTACAGCCTTCCAAGCTTCTCGAGCAGCTATTAATTAAAGAACAGTGACATTAATTAAAGTGACATTAAGGAAGATGGATGATCTGTGCTTTTTGTGAATGATTCACTCTCTTTTTGTGAAAAAAAAAAAACCATCTTCAAGCTGAAATCTCCTACAGGAGCTATCAAGGATGAAGAAACACCAGATGAAAAGTGCCAAAGGGCTTTAGCTTCAAGCCGCTGACCACACTCCCCAAAACTGCCAGTGGTACCCACTGTTACGACACATCCTTATTTGATGCTTAAGTGTATAACATCACTTATATGCTAGACTCCTGATACTACATAGAGTACAAATATATCATATAGCAGTAGGGAACAGAAGAGTTAGTGGTGTGGCAATTCGATATCTAGACGACTAAATGTGATCCCTGTGCTCAGAGTGGAGCAGGTGAAGGGAAGGTCTGCAAGGGGGACCCAGAGCCTAGGAAGTCTGCTATGAGAAAGGCGTGTTTAATCTCATGCAGTGCATCCTGAGAGAGAGCTCCCTATAAATACATCAAGGATAAGCCCGCAGAAGGAAGAAGTGCTATTTAAGCAGAAGCACAATTTTGGCAGAAGAACTGAGGTGAATAAGCTGGCTGAGAGCATACTGAGGCTGGAAGTAGGAAGACTTCTGAGTTTCCAAGCAGCTGCAGTAGGATTTCTCCTCCGGAACCATTACGGTAAGAGGAATGGCGGCAGAAATGAATTTTGTGATGGCAGAGGGCACTTTTTCAGTCTCTTTCAGAGGGCTGCCTATGACAGCAGGGAAATGAATTCGTCTCAGAGGTCCTTTTCAGCGCTGTACTGCTCGCAGGACTGTAATGTTTGTACTCTACAGCTTTCTATCTTCATTTGAGATTTATCTACTTACTACTCAGCTTTCACACTCACACACCCTATTCCCATGATTATAACCCAAATGAAGGGATGAAAAGGCTCCCTTATGGCTAGTGTTAAGAGCACTAATGCAGATGGTGTGAGTTACAGTGTCCTGTCAGCTTAAACCATTCACATCCTATCTCATGCAGTAAGGAAGAATAAAAATAATGCTGTCTTTAGACTCCTAGAGTGCAGAATACACCATCCTTGACCGACAGCCATCAGAAATAAACAGGAATTTCTATATCAGGTGTTTCTCTCTGTAGCAGAATGATGAAAAGTACTCACCTGCTTTTTCTAGATAGGGAAATGGCTGATGCATTAGACTCCACTTTTGCAAAGATTGAACTTTTCATGGTTATAGGACAAAATCATCTAAGCAGGACTTTGGACATGGAAACCCCCTTTTAATGTAGCAGCGTCTTCATACTACTTTTCTTTTGGAGCTCACTCACATTGCTGTGAAATTACCCCTTCCAACCATTCGCAAACTCTAGATTTTTGTGTAAATTTGCATTACTTTATGGAAAGCCACCTTGACAGCATCCAAAATCCCCCTTGTTTTGGGACATGTATTTCAGTACGGTGATTACTTAGGTTCTCCACACTGCTATAAGTAGAGCATGTGTACACACGTATTTCGAATGACTATTGATTACTCAGAACATGCTCTTTTCTTTGGCGTGTTCAGAAGAGCTACCCTTCCAGCTACATTTGTGCTTTATTGTTCAAGGAACCTCTGGCTTTTTAGTCTGTTGAACTGAAGCGGTTTCTTCTGCATCAGCCAGTCTAGCTCTACTCTCACTATGCAAACTGTAGTGTTTTCCTAAACTTTAAAAGCTAAAACCTGTTGTCATTATGTCAGTCGCTGAGCAAAGCATTGATTTTGCTTGAGAAAAGTGATATTGTTTTTGGAAAGGCAGGCATATATGGCATCACAGCACTTCTCTAATTAAGAAGAGATTGATTTCCTGGGTATAGGCAAATTAGCCAACAGAGTCACCAGGCAGTTTGAAATATATCTCTAGAACTGTAGGCACGAATTCAGAATTAGATAGATTAAAGCAGCTGTTGAGATGTGTTTTCTGGCCTTCAAGCAAGATTTTGCTGAGATGTGGGCAACATGAGAAGAAAAAGCAAGAAGATGTATTGCCCTCTGTGATAATTAAAGGCTGCTTCTTCAGCCTAGCTCCAGTAAATTTCTCTAATAATTCGTTATGACGTGCCAAAACACACAAATACGGGTAGCTATTTGACAGAAAAACATGACTTACCAGTTACAATAGCTCTATGGGGTTTAATGACTGGAATACATGAGATAACTCAGGGGGTTGATGCTGGCATGGAGAGAGGCTCATTGAAAAGCTGGACCGTGAGAAATTTAGGGCCTGTAGGATGGTCTCATTCAAAAAAGCAAAACAACAAACCACCTCTTCTGGGGGAAAAGCTGCTAAATAAAACTAACTGCAAGAAAATGTCATGTTATAAAATCATCTCAGAAAGAAAAAGAAAATGGAAAAAAAAATCTTATAGATGGAAACTAGCTGGGTGAAGAAACCAGTGTTTCCATATTATGTGCTTTTACAAACAAGGTGGTACAAATTAGAAAGGGAAATTCAAGATTTACTTGGCTAAAATAGCTAAGAAAGGGAAGAGAGCTCCTAATTAGTGCTAAATTTGTAACACCCAAGAGAGTCTGTTCCCCCTTTCTATTAATTTGCTAATAGCTGAATTGAAGGGAGTTCCCATTCCCTGTGTGGAACCACTACCACTTTGCAGCACTGATCACTGCCTCCCTTGGCTTGAGGGCCCTCAATTCCCAGCCCTTCTCAGTGAGGACACTAGAATAATGTCTTTGGATGCTGAAAAGCAAGCTCAGGAGGAAACTACAAACATTTTGCGCTGGAATAATAAATAAAAAAGTTCATCCAGCATTTTTGGAGGCAGAGTCACTATGAGTCACTTTGCGTCTTCTCAGAAGTTTCTCACCTTGAAGATGAAGGGAAGAGGAGAGAACAGAGTGAGGCGACCAAGCACACTAGGGGCTGCAACCACCCTTTCATAACCAGGAGCTCAGAGCATATTACTGATGAGGAAGTCTCATGGCCACAGCATTAAACCTACCTGGAGAGGACTTTGTGTGGCACATTCTGCCAAAATTTACACTTCTGGTTCCAGTTGCAGGGACTTGGAGAAGCTGAAAATTCTTTGCCTCCAATTTCTCTTTGTTTCCCTTTAGTTTTTCCCTTTTGTAGATAAAATAGGAAATGTACACTGTGTCCTTTGACCAGAACTGCTTGACTCCATATTTGTGAGAGTCTTGAAATAAAATAAACCCAGACCGTGAGAGGGTTGAATTATAAAGCATTGGAACAGGCTGCATAGGGAAGTGCAGGAGTCACTGTCCCTGACAGTGCTGAAGAAATGTATGGATGAGGTGCTTAGGGATATGGTTGGGCAGGCATGGTGGTGATACCTGTCCATACAGTTGGACTCGAGGATCCTGAGGGTCTTTTCCATCAATAATGATGATTCAATAGTTTCCTCCCAGTGCATCTCAGTGGCACAGCAAGCTCTTGGGGGCAGCAACGAGTCAAAGCACCTTCAGCCCAGAGGCCTCACACCAGAGAGGCATCAGGGAGGAGGGTATAAAAGAGAACAGGTAGCAGCTGGGGGGCTTTTTTGAGGGGGGAGGGGGCAGAGGGGACTGGACTTAACTGGACTTGACTTGGTTGCCCTAGGAGAAAGTGACCTGGACCCATGAGCGTGGCTCAATCTGAAGATGGATTGTGTGGTTTGGGTGGAGAAGTGATGGTGATGGCCAGCTTTGGTGGATTTCTGTGGTTGTGTGGTGGTGAGCTGAAGTGTTGGAGATTGCCGCTGAGGTGAAGTACTGCTCTTTTATTTTATTTCCAGATGTCCTTGAAAAATACTGACACAAATAAATACTGGTAGTTAACTTTTCCTGTCTTCTTAAGCAAAGCATGAAAGAAGATAGTCAGGAGATTTCTGGCTATGTAATAGCTCCTCCTCTTTTTTTCTTTCTTTCTAGAAAAGGTAGTTGATATGAGAGGGCCTGATTGAATAGCAAACACCTGAGTGCCTTGACAAAGAGGTTAACCATGTTGGTTGCCCTCATCTTGATTGTCATCAAGTGGTAACTCAGGTAACTGTTGGGCTGAGGCTGGGTGCACTAGGGTGCAACATTCTGCAGGATTTGGAGCTGTGCTGTTTGGTGCAGAAGCAAGGATGCTTGAGGGTGCTCTATGGCACACCTCTGGATGCAGGGGTTTCTAGGCATGTTATTTGCAAGAAATAGCTTTACAAGGTGAAGTGGGTCGTGCAGGTGTTTCAGGAGGTGCTTAAGCACAAACCTTCCTCTTTTCTTGGTTTCTTCTTGACCTTCCTCTCTTCTTGGTTTCTTCTTGAGGGGAGGAAAATGGAGTGTGTGGAAAAATGACTCAGCCGGCTTTGTGCGGGAGGGAATGCCGGAGGCTGCTGCTTTGCACGCTGCAATAAATTAGCACCGGAGATGGCTCAGAGGACAACGTGTGCCTGGAGGATGTGCAGCGCTAAGGAGCACGCAGTGGTTGCTCTTGCTCTCCGTGTGCAAGTTCTGCTTGCAGGAATGTAAGAGGACATAGTCCTGCACCCTGGCTCCCAAGGCTGGCTTCTCTCCTTGGTAAGTGGTGGGACAGCTGGCTGGACTCCTGGTTAAGAAGGAATAATGTGCAACACCAGCAGGATGCTGTAATTCCCCAGAGATGGCACTCACTGCTCTGTGCTTTGGTTACCTGTTGGTACATGGGAGCCTTCATGCCAACCACGGTGGAAGCACAACCAGGTGTTAGGGTGTCACAAGGGGACCTGGGACCCTCGATTCATAAAAACAGGCAACACCTGTGTCTGGGGCAGTGGTTTCTGAAGCTGTACAGTCTAGTCCTCTAGATGCAAAGCTATATAGACCATTTTTGAGAAATGGCCTTTGATGTGCGCTTTTAATCAAGATTTGAGTTTGGTCTGTTTTTTTTTTTTTTTTTTTTTTTTAAACTCAAATGAAAGGATTAAACATATTTCTTCCAGTAAATTTCTAGTGAGCCATAGGTATGTGCCAGATGATAGCCTAATGGAATGTAAAATAACTGATTAGTTGGAAAACAGCTGATGTACTGGAAACATGAAGACTTAACACTATTTTTAAAACCTTCTGGAATAAGAGAGCAACCAAGAGGCTTATTGTGGTGGAGAGGAAGAGAAATATAGCTTGTCTCCTCTGAGAGGCTTAGCTGCCTTTCCCTTGGTAGCCAGAAGTCAGGACAGTAAAGCTTCCCTCTTGAATTTATTTGTTTTAATTAAACTGTTTTAGACTGAGATTTAAGCCTGGATGTGTTCAAACCCAAATGTCTGTGCCTGGAAGCAACATGCCGTGATGAAGCTTCTTGCAGTCTCTTACTCTAGCTTCAAGTGCTCTGACATCTCCCTGCTTTCAAGGAAAGGACAGAGTTCTGCCTGCGGTATCTGATGTGAGCAGTAAAGGTTGAATCCTCACCTCCTCTTGAAATCTGCCCCCATGCACCTTGTTAACTTTATAATATGGTCCTCTAGAAATGAGCAGTAGTATTCAAAAGCTTTCCCAGTGTATTTAGACCTAGTGCTTGAACTTGCAACTGCTTGTGTATGGACTATTCCCATACCTGTGAACTGGAGAGGTTCCAAAACACTGTGCCAAAATGTAAGGAGTTGGCTTAAAACCTGTAAGTCTGTATCTCTTAAGAAGCCTTGAGAGGGAAATGGAGAAAATGTTTTCTCTAAAACCTAGACATATATTTAAATCTTATGGTAGATTGACTAGCAGATGCTTCATTAGCTTTTAAATCCCTGCTGAGTCTCACTCCTGTTAACTTCCAGCTGCCCATTTCTGGAAAACAGTGCTCAACTGATGGCTACTCATTTCTTTCATAACTTCATCAACTTTCAAAACCTTGAGGAAGGACAGCTTAAGAAATCTCTTTTGGACTTTGCCTTGACTATAGCATGACAAAAGATGTTCAGAGCAGAAGGTTTATATTTCTCATGGCTGATGCAGTCAAATCTGTCCTACAAAAGGCTGGCATTTTGGGTTAGTAACGGCCAGGATGGGAGTAACAACATTTGAACATTTTTATCTGCTGAAGTCAAATGCAGGTCTCAGCTTTGCTGTGTGCAATAGGCACACGTGTACTTGTCTGAGCCCTGCTTTGCTTCGTGTTTCTGATGGGGTTTGCTGTATGACTCAGGGTAGCAGATGCCTGCAGTAATTGCTTACCTTCCTGGGCCCTGCTGTGCATGTAAACACTGATGGGATTAGGATTTTAAATTGTAGAACCTCAGGATGGGCTTAGGTTTTAGAGTAGCATGTGCTGCTGTAGTGATGGTTAGTGGCCAAGAGGCAGTAGCAGCTTCCAGCGTGGGCCAGAGCTGCTGGGTGATGCTGCAGCAGGTGGATGTGAGCTGAAGATGATCTTTTTTTTTAGCACTTACAGCCCATCTCTTGGGAAGCTGCTGAGCATTTCTGTAGGTGATATGTTCTCACCTGCAGTGCAAGTGGGGCAGGGCAGATGCTCCCCTGGGGACCTGCTGCAAGCAGAGCCTGTGGCTGGCGCGGGAATCCTGACAGCAGCATGTGGATCTTGCCCTGCAACATCCTGTGTGACAGCTTTGCAAGAGCTTTTCAATGGGTTCCTTTAAATAACAGCTTTTGGCAAACTCTTGTCATTTTGATACTTTCAGTCCTACAAAAAGCAGTGCTTGGAAATTAAAAAAAAAAAAAAAAAAAAAATGGCTGCAAATAACAAACTTAGCTGAAATACCCCAGCCTTGCTCTGCCAAGGTCTCCCTGTGCAGGGAACGGGGTAGTGCTGGTGAAGAACCTTCTGCTGGGGGGAGGACAGGGGAGCTGCCTACACTGAGCAGTTTGGGTCAGTGCTCCTTGCTGGTGGGCACTGGAGTGCAGAAGATGGGCTTGGGCTCTCCACGTAGCTGTAGGAGAGCAGCTTACGCAGGGATTGTTGCTCCTGAGCTGTCTTGGTTAGTTTTGTGGCCGTGTTCCCAGGGCCAACCTGCAGTTTAGCAGGGCCTGAGGATGCTTGGGAGGCTCCATCTCTGCTGCAAGGTTGACTTGCTCCCACCCTAAGGGCAAGGGTAGGGAAAACACTGCTAGATTTTGGCCAGTGTCAGGCGTGCTGAGACTTTGTGCTTTATGGCTCTAAACAAGCAGTGAGATACCAGCTCAAACACAGCAAAGCTGGTGTGGCTGGAGCTGTGGACTGTTCTCCCTGAGAACAGCTACCAGGCTGTGGGAGTTGTTTTCATTCCGAAATGAATGCTTGAGCACACTGACTTTTTATTTTTATTTTTCTCCTCTCCTGTTGTGGCAACTCCAATCGCTTTCCAGTTGTGGAGACCCTTCTTTACGGCATTATCCCATTCCCAGAGCTGGTTCACCCGCTGCTCCTGTTCTTAGGTTACCACAGCAGAATTTTAACCCACTGGCATTGCTGAAATGATCGAACTCTGCCTTGCACTGCATGCTGCTGGAAAGCTGGGGAACGCTGGCCCTGCACATGGTGGCACGGAGAAGGCGGGCAGGCCACACCAGGCAAGTGACACCTTCCTGCTCGCCAGGCCCAGCCAGGGCGTTTTACCCCTGGGAATTACCCCTTCCTGCCTGCAGGAAGTTACGGTGCTGGGTTTGCTCCCGCTGCCTTGTCTGCCTGAGCCGGGGAAGGGAGAGGCTGTCAGCAGTGGCTTGCTCAGCCCATTACAGGGACGCGGATTCCCAGTGCTGACCCAAATCTAGGCTAGTTTTCAGAAATTAATAGGTAAGGAGGAGGGGGGGGGAAAAGAAAGCAAAGCATAGGTTTGTTAAGCTCCTGCAGGGATTTGGAGTTTCCCAGCACGATTCTGCTAGCACCAAGGGACAAAGGAGATAAAGTTATTAGAGGCCAAGTTTTTAGCACAAGCCTTCTCTTAAGCACCAATTCAAAACAGAGCGTTGCTTGTCAAGCTGCGAGACACTGAGTATATCCACCTGTCTTGAGCCTATTTGGAGGACAAGACAAATACCACCACTTAAGAGGCAGCGTATTGGTTTTCATCCTTATTCAGGTTTACTGCAAGGTTCTTGTATTTAATAATATTTATGGCAGCACTTAAATGCTGCCGGGAAAGAGGAGCGCTTGGCCGAGCAGGATTTTGCTCAGGGTTACTAGGCTCACTGGGGCTAATCCCTGCTAGCATTATACCTCATCCGACAGTTGCCAAGGAGACAGGAATAATCTCAGCGAGGCGAGATATGCGAGAAGGGTATTTATGGGCATTTCCCTAACGAGGTTGCTGGAACGCACCAAAAGTTGTTATTTCTGCATCTTTGAAGTATCATCTCTTGCATGGTCAGTATAGGGGACGTGCTGGGGTGGAAGGCAAAAACCTCTGCTGTATCAAGGCAGCACCTACTTCAGATAACCTTGAGGTTTACACTGCCTGTATTGAGCCTTTTGCTCAGGGCCAGACACGGTGCTCGCAGTGTGTTAGACTCTGCCTGTCCGTCTAAGCTCTGCTGTGCCTGCTCAGCAAGCCGTGTGTTCACAAAGGAGTTGTTCTTGGCGGTGCTGACCCAAACTTACCGTGCACCTCCCTCATCTGCCTGCAGTCCTCCTGCTAATGCGCTGCATGCAAAGCAACAAGAGAGGGAAGAGGAGGGAAAGGAGCATGTATACAGCACGTATAGGCCCCTGCATTTGGAAACTTTGTGCTTTGGAAACTGCCTTTTGGAGTTTCTTCCCTCTCTGTGTCCAGGTGGGATGACCCTGGGTGCTGGTGGCACATTTCTGGTCCTGCAGGAAGGGTTAATGCTGCATGGGCAGGCGGCATGTGATCTCAGCTGGGTTTTAGGCAGATTAGGGACCTCCCTGACCTGGAGTGGTTTATAGCCCTGTGCTCAAGGGGATTAGGAAGACCAGGAGAGCCAGTATCTTCATGTGAACAAGCCTGTGTGGCTGGTGGAGGCTCCTTTCAGCTCTGTTTTGCCAGGGAAAGTGGCAAAAGGGGAAGGGGCAGGGATGGATAAGGCTCGGGAACCAGGGGGCACAGTCTCGTGCTGGGCAAATGTCCCCTCCTTGAATTAAAGAGAAGCTGCAGCCTGTAGAGCAGGTCTGCCTGTCTCCTTCCCTCTCCCCAGGGATCGGGGATCTCCCCAGGGATTTGGTCTTTTTAGTCTGTGATAATTTCTTTAGAGAAGGTGGAAAAGAAATGAAGGAAACTTGGATCTTCCAAGTTTCCAAAGCCTGGTGTGAATGACTGCCCTGGAGGGCAGGTTGCTGGGAGCTGGCTTGCTGCAGGCAGATGCAGCTCATGATTTTGCCATTAATATAAGCAAACAGCTCTGAGCTGCTGGGTCAGGTAGCAGAGGAGGCCTCTTTAAACGCA